GAGCTGAAGAGCTGAGGGACAGCGCCCAGGCCCAGAGTTCAAGCCCCACAACCGACAAAAAAAAAAAAAGAAATGTTTTGCGTAAGGGGGCTTTCCTTCTGTGGAAGAAGCCTGGCTGGAGGAAGAAATTAGTCTTGTTTCTGGCTCCTGTCCAGATTTCCAGTCTCCCATCCCACCTACTGCTGGCCCAGGTGCCTGGCTCAAGGAGCCTGCGGGCGAAGTGGGGCGTGGGGGTGGGGGTGAGATAGAGCAGTGTGTCTAACAGTCCAAGATAATGGTGTCAGCTGGCAAAGCCAGATGACAGTGACCCTGCTATGGTCATTTTCAGTGAGTGCCTGGAGCCTTGCCTTACCCCAAACCTATTCACTAGTATGGTTTTTTGTTTGGTTTTGGAGGAGGGAGGACTAGGGTTTGAAGGCAGGGCCTCGCTCTCGCTAAGTTAGTGCAATGACTGAAAACGACTATTTCTAAATAGGACAAACATTCCAAGAACCAACCAAGCTGTTTAAACTTCAACTCTGCCACAAACGTGGCATTTTCTATCAGTTTAGAAAGAACAGAAATACAGAGAACCGCAAGGATGTTTCCATACACTGGGAGGAAGGCTGCAGAGATGCTCAGGAACAGTAGTTCCCACCCCAATCCAATTCTGCAAACCTCAAGACTTCCTGGGGGCCTATATTCCATCCTGTTCTTGGCTCTGAGCATCAAGCCCAGGTTTCCCTCATGAGAACCCCTGGAGAGGGAGGGGCCAGCCGGGCCAGATTTGCTCAGTCAGGAGGGTGACGGTGCTGCCGGCAATGCAGGCGTTTTAAGTCTCCTGAGACTGAAGACTACCAGGCCAGCTGCTGAGAAGCAGGAAGACCCTAATTCTGGATGGAGGGGCAGGTCAGACGCTCCCCATGATGACCTGTACTGCCCTAGCCATTGACCCACTACCGGGAAAGGTAGCAAAAGGAAGAAAAGAAGAAAACCACAGTATTCAAATGTAGGTCAGTCAGGTGAGACAAGGAGTCATGTGGACCAGCTGATCCACAAGCAACACAGCGCCATGGAGCACATTTCAGGGAAGACAGACGCCGTCAGTGACTGCACACGCACGGACAGTGCAAATGGGAGGCAAGAGAGGAAAGGGCCCCGCGAGGGGCCGTCTACGCGGACAGTTTTAGGCACATGATTTATAATACTTTCTGGACATCTAACAGGGTAATAAAATATATATTATATAAATATATCTCCTACTGTACATGCTGCCCTCCTGTACAGCCACTGTGACGCCATGTCCAACGTCGCCAAAGGCGCGCCCGCTGACCCTCTGTGCCTGGCTCCGTCCTTCCTCTTGCGCCTCAACCCTGTCCACTCTGCACTGGATGGTGAGGGAAGATGGCCAGGAATATTCTTCCTGTAACAATCATTCTGGAAAGGCTAACAGATCAGCAACATACATTTAACCAGTGCCTACTGGAGAGAGTAATGTAGCAAATGGACAGAAAAAAGAAATGGAGAAATCCTCTGCCCTTTACTGCAATTCCTCTCCCCATCCCTCCATCGGCTTGTCTGGAAAGTGTGCCTGGAGTGTGCAGAAAGGCCAGGCTGCACTGCAGTCGCACCCTGGGGCCGCGCTAAATCGCTGCAGCTCATTGTTTCTACCTTGTTACTGTAGCCTGAAGAATAAAGCAAAGTGAATTGGACTCTGGCTCCTTCTTCCTGCCCTGCCACTCCCACCCAAGTCTCCCAGGACCCCCCCCCTTAGCTTTCCTCCCGTGAGGCAGAGAACTGCTAGAGTGACCACACCATTAGCAAGGCTGACAGACAAGGGACAGTCCTGCACCATCCTGGAGGGTGAAGGGAAGCTGGAATCAGGGGACTGACCTGTTTCACAGACCTCTGACTCTCCTAACCCACTTGTCCCTGGCCTGGGAAGGCGCACGCCCCACTGCCCTGCCGCGAGGCAGTGCCCACAGCAGTACCCACAGCTGTGGGGCTACGACCAGCAGTGGCTTGTTTAGGGCAGCAGCTGGAAGGCATCGCTGCTTCAGCAGAAGCAAACAGGACCCAAAGCAGTTTGATTAGTGTTTCCCATTACTTGGTGAAGTCCCTGCCCCGACGTGGTCCACAGGTGCTTCTGGAAGATGATCTGGACTCTCAGTGATCATGTTCTGGGCATGTGCATTCCCTCCAATTCCTGCCTTCATTTGACACAGTCACATGGAAGAAAGAACTCCGCTGCCCAAGTCAAGCCTGGAGATGTGCTACTATATACATTTTTTCCTTCCTTTAAAAATTTCTTTTTTTGTTTTTGGTGTTTTTTTTTTTCCCTTGTTTTTGATTTTTTTTTTAAAAGCATTTTGAGTTGCAGGTCAGGTGTTGGTTCTGGAAGTACTGTAGTTCTGTTGGTATGAGAGAGATGTTCTACGGGTGGGTAAACCCAAGTTCGCCGACAAAGGCTACCACCAAAGCGACCAGCTGACGCTGCACAGACGGCTGGGAGGAGGACACCGCGGATGTGGCCAAGTCTGGACGGGACAATGCAGTGGGCACCTGCTGCTGCTCTATTGTGGGTGTTGGTGCCACCTCTTAGGAGGGCGAAGTGAGGGTATGCTATACAGGAAGGCTATACAGACTGGGCACTGGATAGGTAGTTCCTTTGGTGGTCAAGGCACCTCTACCTGTCCTTGAGCTCTCGTGTCACACGCTTGGTGATCCGTCCACACATCAGGCCGATCAGAAACAATATGCAGATGCTCCCACTGATCACAGACAGGATGTAGTTCTTAGATGGGGAAGTCATCACTTGCATGGCAAGGTCAGAGAAGCCATCTGCTGGGGCCACCTGGAAGGAGACAGCATTCTGTGACCCTGTGGAGAGCTGGGTAGCAGTGGCGCTAAGTCTAATGTATCCCCTCAGTAACTAATTCATGGGTTTTCTTTTGGGGAATGAGACAAGAAAATCAATGTAGGCTACAATTCTCTTCCTGATCACAAAACTATGTCTGCCGTATAAAATTATGAACAGAAAGATACGAAGGCAAGTGATCACCCCCTGGGGTGCCTGGGCAAAGGCTTCTCTTATTTTCCCTGGATTACTGCATACACCAGTTCAGTGGGCAGACCTCATGATTCCACAGTACAAATGAAGATTCGGTTGCTCAGGGACTGATACGGTGGGTATATGACCTACACAAGGCCACCAGTTCGCATATACTTTTTTTTAATTATTTGTATTTTTGTCAGTCCTGAGGCTTAAACTCAGGGCTTAGGCGCTGTCCCTGAATATCTTTGTGCTCAAAGCTAGTGCTCTACCACTTGAGCCACAGCTCCGGTCCAGCTTTTCTTTTACTACTTAATTGGCAATAGGCTCATTTCCAGTCAGGCTGGCTGCCAACCATGATCCTCAGATCTCATCCTCCTACATGGCTAGGATTACAGACAGAAGCCACTGACAAAGCTGGGAGCCTGGGTGGAATCTGACCACCCAGGTCAGATTAGGCTGCTCCTACCCATCTTGTCATCAGAAGAGAACAGGGAAATAAGAAATTAATGAGATCTGAGACCCACATTTGCCAATACAGAACAAGCTGAGTCATTCTCAGCTCAAAGGAGACGAAAGGAGCAAGGGAGATTGGACTCTGTAGGACCTGTTGGGTGCATCTGTGAACCCAGAGCGTCACAGGTGAATTTTTTTCCCCTTGAAAGGGGGAGCGAGGAGGAGGAGCGTACTGTTGTGAGAGCTAAGATCCTGAGTGCAGGGGGTGACAGTCCTGGCAATGTCACAGAGCCAGTCGGATGCAAGGGAACAGGGCAGCTCCGGCTTCATAGCTACCCAAAGAATTTTAAGACTCATTGGCTGCTCTTCCAAATACACGGATGGCTCCACTTCCAGCAGGGCAAGACCAATGAAATATCTCACAGAACAGATGGCCCTGGCAGAGCCTCTCTTGGCCTTTACCTTTGCCGCATAACTCCACATTTCAATCCGGTCATTAAGGCGCTTTTTGCACTCAGGCTGTAACCTCACCCGCTTATCCTCCAGAGCCTCCATTAGGCAGGACATTTCTGTGGTAGTAAGGAGAGAAGAAAGATCTGCAACCATACAGAACAGACTTTACAATTACACTTTACATTTCTGTAAAGCTGGGAAGAAGGATATCCAAGAATATACTAGAGAACTCTGACTTTTTTTTTTTCTATTGTGTCGGTTCTGGGGCTTGTACTCTGGGTCTGGGCGCTGTCCCTCAACTCTTCAGCGTAAGGCAAGTGCTCTACCATATGAGCCACAGCACCCGTTTTCTGGTGGTTAACTGGAGATAAGAATTTCACATACTTTCTAGCCCACACTGGCTATGAACTGTGATCCTCAGATCTCAGCCTCCTAATATAGCTAGGATGGCAGGCATGAGCCACCAGAGCCCGGCTAAAACAAATGTACTTTTTTTGGGTCAGTTGTAGGGTTTGAACTCAGGGCTTGGCCACTGTTCCTGAGCCTCTTTGTGCTCAAGGCTAGCGCTCTATCAGCTGAGCCACAACACTACCTTCCAGAACTCAGACTTGTGCGTTAAACATATTCTAGTAAACATCAGTGAAGACCACCATGGTGAGGACAGGGCGTCAGTGAAGACCGCCATGGTGAGGACAGGGCGTCAGGGTATGTCTCTTCTTTTCAATGCACAAGCTTGGCCCATAGAACAGCCTCTACATGCTCCTGGGTTCCAGTAGTAGAACTCTACAGTAGTTGGCAGTGTCAGACACAGCACCACTAGGTCTTGGGAACACAAAGCTTTTCTTCTCCATGACTACTTTATTTACTTATTTATTTGGCACATTACTTATTTATGTGCCACATTATTTAAGAACATGCTTATTGGGCCCACTGTGGCCCCAGTGTAAACTGGGTAATGGTGGGCCTTTATTTCCATGACAAATAACTAAGTCAGTTCAAACCTGCAAGATTATTCCCAAACTGATTATGCCACAAAGGACTGATTTCCACAGCATCAACCAGGCTTCCAGGGGATGATGTCTATGGCTAGCCTATATTCACAGAACAGAGTGGCAGCAACTAGTGTGTGAGAGTGAGTCTTAACTCCCCCTGGGAAGTCCACACAGGGTCAGCGGGAACCAACGCAGTAACTTACGACGCCCACGGCCAGGGGTGATGGCCGCACAGTGGTGTTTAATGTCCAGGGCACAGGCTGTGTGAAGAACTGGGTCCACAAAGATATCGGCTTTGCTCTCCTTCAGCATGTTTAGCACTTCCTGTAAAGGGAAGGCCATTGTGGAGAGAACTTTCATGGAACACATGCAGCAGTGATATTGTCTATAAATACTTTATAACAAGCAAACAGGTTGGTAGGGAGACTGAGGGTTCACTACTACTCAGAGATAGGTGGCAACATGGCCATGCTGATCCTCAAACCCAATCTAACTACCACTAGGGGATTCACTGTATAAGCAAAGTAGGTATGTGGTCAGACATGTGTTCCCAGAATACTGATGTGCCACATCAGAAATACCTGTTAGTTTTTTGTTTGTTTGTTTTGCCAGTCATGGGGCTTGAACTCAAGGTCTGGGTGCTATCCCTGAGTTTTTTTGTTCAGGGCTAGTGCTCTACCACTTGAGCCACAGCTCCATTTCTGGCTTTTTGGTGGTAAACTAGAGATTAGAGTCTCATGGACTATCCAGCCTGGGCTGGTTTTGAACTGCGATCCTCAGAGGTCAATCTCCTGAGTAGCTAGGATTACAAGTGCGAGCCACTAGCATCCAGCAAGAACACCGTTTTGGTGGGGAATTGGGCAGATGAGAAAAAGGAAGCGAGGAAATGTTACCTTTTTACACATCTCTGTTTTGATCTTGAGTAGGTTGACCTTGAGGCACTCCTCTACTTGGCCCGTCTGCTCCTGGGCTGCTGCTTCTTCAGCACACAGACTGGCAATCTGCTCAGAAGACACAAGAAAACAAAGGCCACACGCTGAGCACAGAAAGAGTAAGTGGCACTAGAGAATCCCAGCACTGGAGAAGAGGAGGATTGAGAATTTGAATTTAGCCTGGGTAACTACACAGTAAAATTGTTAAATAACAAAAAGAAAAAAGAATCAATAACAATAACTAACTCCAGTACAAATGGCTTCCAGAAAAGATGATTCTGGTATTCTGGTTAGTCTAATCAGTCCTGAATAGGCAGTTGTCTGCACTGTCCCAGGCCCGGCTTACTACTGCCTGACTAGTTATCTACCACCAGACACCTGATACTCTAAACCTCTTGATGATTCTCCCACAGAAGTACTCAGGGCTTAACTCAACAGCTTCCTGGTGGGATTGTGTGCTTCTCCTGCACCAAATGCCAGGCTCCTTCACAATGACTGGCAGAGCAGAATGTTAGGACCTACACTTATCTTTACGCTGTCAACCCTGAGACTGGAGTGAGACTGTCCCAGAACTTGTCCAAAGAAAGCTACTCCTTATCTCCACAGGGAAGAACAGACAGCCAAGTGAAATACTAAAAGCAAATGCTATTTACGGAATTCAGACCCACAATTTGGCTGCATGTTGACACACTGACACACATATACACACATTCCTTCAGAAAAGCCTGTAAGTGGAGATAACAAACCTTTGGACAATTTTATGAGTAAGCTTTGCAACATCTTTAGCTGATTTCCTAAAATTGACATAAGTTGAACAAGGTTCTTCACTTGGACTTTTCTAGCTAGGACACCAAATAATTTCCAGGGCTGGGAAGGTGGCTCAGTGGTAGAGTGCTTGCCTTGCATGCATGAGGCCCTGGGTTCGATTCCTCAGCACCACATAAGCAAAAAGAAAAAAGCCAGAAGTGGCTCTGTGGCTCAAGTGGTAGAGTGCTAGTCTTGAGCTGAAGAGCTGAGGGACAGCGCCCAGGCCCAGAGTTCAGGCCCCACGACCGGACCCCAAAAAAAAAAAATTCCCTACATGACTCTTACATGATCTCTAAATAACATCTTCTTTGGAAGGGGACCATTATGAAACCTGATAAAGATCAAAAGAAAGAGGTAGAGAAGAGGAAAAGAGAAGGCAGGCAAATATAATTAAGGTACATAATATGCACATATGAAAATGTCACAAGAAAATCCATTACTTTATACAATTAACAAATGTTAACTTTAAAAAGGCAAAAGAAAAAAATGCAATGGGAGCAGAATGAAGGAATAATTGATTCTGGAGATGCAATGTTGAGCAAGCCACAGAGAGGAGGCAGGAGAGAAATCTCTAGGAAGACAAGGTGGGGGAGGATGAGGCAAATGGAACAAGAAGAAAATGAACAGCGACAAAGAGAAGTGCCAGGGAAGAAGTCAGAAAGCCAGTGTGGGGGCACAGAGGGGATGACGGGGCTGAGCAGGTGTGATGGGTCTCTCCCCACCAGTGAAGAGTTATTAGGATGTTACCTTCACACGACTCGTATAATTAAAACATGAGACATGGCTCAAGCCATAGAGTATCTGTCTAGCAAGCTTAGCCTCCTGTCCCTGGTTCAAAACCCCAGGATCTTTTTTTTTCTTCTGTGTTGGTTCTGTAACTTGAACTCAGGCCTGAGCTTTGTTCCTGAGCTTTTCTTTGCTCAAGACTTGCACTTTTACCACTTGAGCCACAGCATCACTTCCAGTTTTATTTGAGTTGTGTCCTGGAGGTAAGAGTTTCATGGATTTTCTTGCCTGGGCTGCTGGCTAAAGCCCAGATCTAAGCCTCCTGAGTACCACAATCCTCAGATCTAAGCCTTCTGAGTAACTAGGATTACAGGTGTGAGCTGCCAGTGCCTGACCAAAACCCCAGGGTCTAAACAAACCAAAACAAAAATTAAAGCAAAAAAATTTACCTGAGCATTTCCATATTGCACAGTGGAACAGTAGTTCTTGATGTCACTCTTGCAGGCTTCATAGAGATCTGGCTCTAAACGGATGTCCTCTGTCTGCACGAGAGGAAGTCAGCATGGAACAGTGAGCTAGTTTTAAGCTGGAGAGTTCAAAAGTTCTACAGACATGTTAGCTGAATCTTGTCCAGTGACTGTGACATCTGTAAGTGGCAGCAGTGTGGCCATGCTGCAGAACTGAGATATAGTTTCAGTTCTGAGACAGGCTAGCCATATAGCCTTGAATCTAGGCTATATGAAGGTTCATATCTATTCTGAAATGCAAACCTAAAATTCTATTATTGTACTGAGTTAGGCTCAGAGAGAGGAAACCAAAGCTTCCAATCAAATCTCTATACTATAGTAGAACATTTGGGTTAGCCCCACTCACATGGACTTATCGAATCACTACAAGTGTGTAAAAATCTACTACGTAGCTTCGGGATATTATTAATTTTGTTTGGTCTTACTTAGTTTAGCTTAGATGGAAGGGATACACAACATATTTTTAGCTCTTTTTAACAAGGTTTGGGCTTGATCTCAAAAGGAAAGCAAGGGGGCTGGGAAGGTGGCTCAGTGGTAGAGCGCTTGCCTTGCATGCATGAGGCCCTGGGTTCAATTCCCCAGCACCACATAAGAAAAAGGAAAAAAGCCAGAAGTGGCACTGTGGCTCAAGTGGTAGAGCGCTAACCTTGAGCTGAAGAGCTATGGGACAGCGCCCAGGCCCAGAATTCAGGCCCCATGACCAGACCCCCCCAAAAAAAAATTAGGCAAAAGGAAAGCAAGAAGATCCCCCCTACAGGGTACATTGTGGATGACTTTCCGTAATTCATTTCTGCTGATGAGTGTATGGCATTTCCCAGATACTGCTGTAGATCAGGGAGTGGGCACAAACACCAAGCTGGTACAAGTGAAGCGAAAGGAGTTTTGTTAATGGCCAGTGGAGGTTTTTCTCTCTTTTCTCATTTTGCTAGCGGTGACTAGTGGGGCAGGTAGTCCAGCTGCCACAGGCAGCCAATCTGATACCATGGAGAACAGAATGAAGGGAGAAGATCCTCAATCCTTGAGGACATTACTGACCCAATGATCATATCACATGCTTATTTTGTCTTACAGCTTGACCTCCAGTTAGGCATGGTTAAAAAAAAAAGTTATCATTTGAAATCACACAGTGAAAAAAGAATTGTCATATGGTAAAATCTGAGCACATGACCCTATGTCTTGATCATCACAACATGCCCTAACCCTCCCAGCTGGGTAGGTTCCAACCCCAGTGGTTTCTGGGAGGCATTACCATCTCCAGCTCCTCCACTCGGAGCTGCTTGCGGCACTTCAGGGACACCCTGTGCTCCTTGGCTTCCTGCAGAGTGTCATTGCGCACTGTGGTACTCAGGCAGATCACTACATCCACCCTGCCAAGAAAAGATGAGATATAAGACTGACTGGAGTCACAGTAGGCAGATGGCCTGAGAGCTGGACTGGGGCAGGGCAGGGCATCCCATTCACACAGAATTCATAAGCTTTTCTCCCATGCTTTTGAATGTCTTTCCGTAAGCACCACAGTTTGTTCAGTGCTAAAAGCTGTACCTTGACTATAAATGACTATTCTTTTATGTGATATTGGCCTCAAGGCACAAGAGTAGTGATGCTGAAAACTCGGGTAGGCCAAAGAAAAGCCATAAAATATTCCTTGTAAGTGAAAAGGTTAAAGTTTTGCAGTATGGAAAAAAATTATGCTGCGATTGCTAAGATCGATATTACTATAAGATACTGAGAGATATTACATTCTTATAAGCTTCAATATAGTTTTTGTTGTTGTTTTGCTGGTTGTGAGGCTTGAACTCAAGGCTTGGGTGCTGTCCTTGTGCTTTTCTGCTCAAGGCTAGCATTTCAATACTTGAGCCACACCTCCACTTGCAGCTTTTTTGGTAGTTAATTGGGGATAAATAGTCTCATAGAATTTCCTACCTGGCCTAGATTCAAATCTCAATGCTCAGATCTCAGCCTCCGGAGTAGCTAGGATTAAAGGTGTGAGCCACCAATGCCCAGCTTTTATTGCAGTTTTATTATTAGTAATTCTCATTAATCTCCTTCTGTATCTAATTGACATATTGAACTTTATTACGGGTATGCAGATAGAGAAAGAGAAGGTGTATATGGGGTTGGTACTCTGTAGTTTCAGACATCTGCTGGGGGTCTTAGAACGTATTCCTTGCTGACAGTGGTGGTCAGCTGTAAGGGGGAGCTACGGTACAGAAATCATTAGTAGCCTGAATGCCTATATATTCCTGACTAGAGGAGAAACCAGACAAGGGACATGTGTGCAAAGACACCTCAACGCTTTGTTTAAAGCAAGTGACTACAGAAGAATGCTGCTGTTCGCTGTGAGACTCTGCTTTATTGTGAAACTCATTCTTTAAGAGAAAGAAACCTGGGCAAAATGGGAACTTGATTTATAGGAGGGAAGATAAGTTCTAAACCAGTTCCTGTTCCAAGAGCTATGCAGAATTGGTAGTCCTGCCATCAAAGCTTATTAGTCTCCTTATGAAGACTTAATTTCAAGGAGAATTCAAGTTCTCTTCCTCACTAGGGCTGTAAATTGGTGAAGGCTTGGCTACTTTTCTGTACCCAAGATGATGTAGTGGATAATGCCAGCAGTCGGTCCACTTCGCACACTGCAACTTATTTCTCTAAAGTACACAATCTCTATCTGCTCTATTGGTTAGGTAGCTGAAACTTGGAAAGTCAATACTAATCTTCCTATAGTCTATCTATGGGCTCTCCTTGTAAGAACTCCAACCAGAGCCGTGGCTCTGAGCAGCTATGATTGGCCACATTCCCAAGGAAGAGAAATAGGTCTCTGGGCTCTCTGGGCTATTTCTTCCAGGCAGCTGAGGTCGTCTGACATGTCAGATATTCATTCAAGTAGCTAAAAGGACTCAGGGAAATAGAACAGATCAATTAAAGGCTACATACTTCTTTTTTATGTTGGGGCAAAGTTTCAACACATCCTCCTTGCAGGCCATTTTAAACTTGTATGAGAAACGAAAATCCTTCATCTGCACCTGAAAGATAATGAGAAAGAATATCAGAAGCTCTGTGGCCTAGTAGTCAGCAATGGCAGGTGACATTTTAGTCATATAACTTTCAGAGGCCTGCTCATAAGACCCTGGATGACTTGCCTGCATCTCACACTTCAGAACCTGATGATCTCTCATGATTCCCCACACCATCTCTGGCATTGAAGTCACTGTGTCACACAGGAAAATTTCTCCAAATTCTTTGGTTTGCTTTGCCACTTCAAGTTTCTACACAAACAAGCCCCTCCTCTTTCACCTTCTAGCTACCACTTTGGCTCAAGGCGCCCATGGCTGTAACCTTTGTACACATGCTTCTGTATCTTTCTCCTACTACTTATCATTAGGGCATAGGAGTTCATTAACACAGCAGAACACAGGCAGGTGGGCTACCTGCCCTAACAAGTAGTCACCTTAGCTGATGAATCATCTTCCTTGCAGGAAATGCCTGCTATCCCCAACACAAGTAACTACAGACTGCTTCCACAATCTTTTTTTTTTTTGGTTGGTGAACTCTGGGCCTGGGCGCTTGTCCCTCAGCTCTTCAGCTCAAGGCTAGCACTCTACCACTTCAGCCACAGTGCCACTTCCGGCTTTTTCTGCTTATGTGGTGCTGAGGAATGGAACCCAGGGCCTCATGCATGCAAGGCAAGCACTCTACCACTGAGCCACCTTCTCAGTCCCATGCTTCCACAATCTTATATGCTGGATTTAGGTTTTATGATTTAGAAGAAAACAGAGTTCAGGGTTTTCATACATACCTGGGCCACTGTACTGTCAGTCACACAAAACAGAAAGAAAATGCCTGCTTACTTGTCTCTGGCCCCAGCAGACTGATTGTTCCCTAGTGGCAGGGACAATGTCTCACTGGGCATTGCATGTACCTAGCAAAGTACTTGGTACAATGGACTAAAACCACATTTGCTGACAAATTCAAAGTAGAAATAAATAAACAAGTTTTCAAGACCAGAGAGGTGCTAAGATGTTCCAAAAGAGGAAGTTAATCAGTAATCATCCAAACAGCTAAAATAGGAAATGGACTGACCAGTTGGAAGTGGGTAACTCCAATGGCACACTTCTCATTCATATCTTTCTGATGTTTGTTCTGTATCAGACACTCCATCAGGTCCCCAGAGTCTATCTGGTTGTCTGCTACATCCTGGGGAAGACAGTATACACTCACATTTCATTTGTAACAATGAATGAATACAACCTGTAGCTCAGTCCATGGAAACATGAACAGGGCTGATTACAGAAGCATTCACAAATGAGATACTTCATAAATTATTCAAAACAGGCCTAAGAAATCACAAATGAGAAATAGTCAGTGAATAAAATGTATACAGCCAGTTGCTCTGCACAAGGCAGGAACATGTTCTCTGAGGTCTTTACCTGCTTTCCTTATGTAATTGTGGCAGGTGCTCTAATAATCTCTAACACAGTCATTTGACTGTCAGAGCCCATGGGTTCCCCTTTGTGTTTCACTCCTACAATTTAGGGAGTTCAGTAAGTGGATTAAATAAGGTAAAACAGGATTCAGTCAAGATGGAAATACAAAGGTGACATCAGGAGAGGGAAACCGCTACTATAGCCAGCAAGTCCTGGGAAGCACCCAGATACACTTGCTTCTGGAGTCCTCCCTTCTACACTTTACAAAGGGCATCTCTGTCATTGCTACCCATAAATCCAGTCATCTGAAGAGGCTGTCCATACAGCGTTTCCTGACGGTGGCCCTTCTCTATCTTGTTTATATTTCCAAGATTTACTTGTTAAAACTGACTATCGTTCAGGAGAAAAGACCTCATCTCTAAAGTCAGAGATGAGTCCCACACCCTTGGGAGACCAGCATCCTAATGAGTTTTGTTTGTTTTCTAATCTTTGTTCCTCTAGATATCACTTACGTGGCAAAAGTTCTGAATTATGGGCTCACAGGCTCTCATCAACAAGGCTTCTATCTGAATGTCCTGTAAAACATAAGTAGATTCATAATTTTTTGGGGGGATCCGGTCGTGGGCCTGAACTCTGGGCCTGGGCGCTGTCCCTCAGCTCTTCAGCTCAAGGCTAGCACTCTACCACTTGAGCTACAGCGCCACTTCCGGCTTTTTTTTCTGCTTATGTGGTGCTGAGGAATCAAACCCAACCCAGGGCCTCATGCATGCAAGACAAGCGCTCTACCACTGAGCCACCTTCCCAGCCCCTCATAATTTTTATTTAGAAAGAGCCAGGAGGAGGGGCAGTTTCTCCTTCTATCACCTCAGGATATAAACAACTTATACTCTAAAAAGTAAAAGACATTACCCCTCCCCCACTCCAAACACACACTTTTGGTAAAACTAAGGTACGGACTCAATACCCTGGACTTGTTAGGTAGGTGGTCTACCACTTGAGTCACACATTCTAAAAGACATTGTTTCTTACAGACAGATTCTTGTGCCTGAACAAAAGAGAGGACAAAGTTAAGAAAGGTGGGATGCGCCGGGTGCTGGTGGCTCACGACTGTAATCCTAGCTACTCAGGAGGCTGAGATCTGAAGATCAAGGTTCAAAGCCAGCCAGGGCAGGAAAGTCCGTAAAACTCTTATCTCCAATAAACCACTAGAAAACTGGAAATGGTACTGTAGCTCAAGCAGTAGAGCACAGGGACAGCACCCAAGCCCAGAGTTCAAGCCCTACAACCAACCAAAAAAAAAGAAAGGTGGGATGAAGTGGGTGCCAGCAGCTCAAGCATTTAATCATAGCTACTCAGAAGCTGTGATCTGGTGGATCAGAGTTTGAGGTTAGCTCAGGCAGAAAAGTTCACTAGGCCCTATCTCCAAAACAGCAAAAGGCAGGAGTAGTGATGTGGCTCAAGTGGCAGACTGCCTGCCTATAAAATAGAAGACTGAGTTCAAACCCCAGTACCACCACCAAAAAAAAAAAAAAAAAAAAGGTGGGAAGAAGAAACAGTAGTAATATTAGAGCATGCAAAACCTTTGGAGCTTTTCCAAAATGTTAAGCAACTGAAAATGAAAACAAATATAATTGATATCTACCTTTTGTTTCTAAGTTCATAAACCAGATCACAGACTTTAACCAGATGATAAACCACTGCTAAATGCCTTTAAGCAGAACAATCCTGGTTGTTCCTAGAAGGTCCCTAGCTGCTCGGGTCCTTCTATTAAAGAGCTACAGCTCAAAAAGGTCCTCCCCAACCCATAAGGACATGATGAAAATGGGAGAGAAGGGGAGGGAAGGTGAGAGAAAGAACAAAATTTGAAAACTAGAAAGTAAAATGCTTACAATGAAAAAAAAAATTGCATTTCCTTGTTTCTCTGATTTCTGCTTCCACCAGATAACTTGAGCATTTTTAGCTACCTCCCTGCCATGGTAATAGTTTTTGTATTTCTGAATAATACTCTTGTGCTTATGTGTGTTTCTATTCTAACGAATCCCAGGATGTTACTTCATCTTTCACATAACTGGAAATCCCAAGCTTTTTGTTCAACATCCATTCCCAATGACGTAACTAAAGGAGCTATAAGGAGAACAGAGTGTGGATGCTTGAGTTACTCTTGAGTGTGACTCACAGACTGACAGAGCAGCAATCTTTCCTCAAGGGAGAAGGACTCATCACTGTGATAACCGATTGATGTGAAGCCACTTGGTGAAGAAAACCTAAGTGTTAATTTTTCTAGAGAAGTGAGGGAAAGGGTCAGGACACAGCAAAATGGTTTGAGAAAACAAAGAGGGAGAGTCTGATTAAGTTTCTTTTGATTTTTCAGAGGCTCTACATTCTCAAGAGTGTTGGAAGAGCAGAGCTGAACAAGAAAGGCCAGGTGGCTGGCAGTCCCTCTCCTCTGAGGAGCTACATGCTGCTTACCTCTGATTCTAACTCGGTGAGGTTGCCCACTATGTCTCTGCACTCCACGGCCAAGTCATCCAGATGGTCCTGGAGGCACTCAAGCTCCTGCATATGAAAAGGCAAGTGGTGGTGTTCATCAGTCGCATCAATGAACACCAGTCTGCTCCCTTTGCACTGGTCCTCCTTTCTTCTTCCTGAAAAGGCACTACCTCACTGCACACAGCACAAGTTTATTTGATCCCCAAACCAAGGGTGTTAAAAAGATAATTACTTAATTAGTTGATGTAGCAGAGTATTTAAGAAGGTCAAGGGGTATAAGAAGTCCAAACCCAACAGGCAACAGGAACTGATCTTCAGCTGTTCTCAAACTCTAAAAATCTCTCTCTCTCTCTTTTTTTTTTTTGGTTGGCTATGGGGCTTGAACTTTGGGCTTGAGTGCTGTTCCTGAGCTCTTCAGCTCAAGGTAAGCACTCTACCGCTTGAGTCACAGTGCCACTTCCGGTTTTCTAGTGTTTTATTGGAGATAAGAGTCTCACAGACTTTCCTGCCCAGGCTTTGAACTGAGATCCTCAGATCTCAGCCTCCTGAGTAGCTAGGATTACAGGCATGAGCCACCGGCGCCCCACTCTAAAAATCTTTATCAGGCTTTTATTCCACTCCATCAATATCTCCCTATTCCACTTTTAATCGTTTAATCTATGTTTTGATTTTATCTATCTACCTACCTATTTACCTGCCTCTCTGTCTGTCTAGGTACTTTTTTTGTGTGTCTAGTCCTGGTACTTTCACTTGTTTTCTCTCTCAACTTTTTCACTAAAGATTGGTGCTCTATCATTTGAACCACTCCTCCAGCTTCAGCTTTTTGCTGCTTAACTGAAGATAACAGTCCTTTAGTTATCTCAGCCTGGGCTGGCTTCTAACTGCAACCCTCAGATCTCAACTTCCTGTAGCAGCTAATATTGTAGGAGCCAACAGCATGTGGATGGTACTAGTAAGATCTCTGGGCCTCCTGCTTCCTTGGCAGGAGCTCTCACTTGAGTCATGCCCCTAGCCAACCCCCCTTTTTAAATTGTTCTTATAAAGGTGATGTACAGAGGGGGTTACAGTGTATGTCAAGTAAAGAGTGCTTTCTTTTTGTATAAGGAGACCCATTCTCTCACTCAGCTTTTCCCCCCAACCCTTTTTGCCACATACCATTCACCATATCTAGCTAGATGAGGACTTACAACTTTTTTGCTTAGGCTGGTCTTTAACTGAAAACTCTTCCATCACTGCTTCCTGATTAGCTAGGATTACAGGTGTGGGCCTCGGAGCCTACTCTTATTTCCCATTTTAGATGTGCACTTTGACAATGATCAATGGGCCACAAATTCATAGTAGAAGGCCATGTATTACATTGAGATTCTTCATGGCTAGCCTGGTGCTTGGTGGCAGCCCATGCCTGTAATCCTAGCAACTCAGGAGCCTGAGATCTGAGGATTGAGGTTTGAAGCCAGCCTGGGTAGAAAAGTCTATGAGAGTCTTATCTTCAATTAACCAGCAAAAAGCCAGAAGTAAAGTTATGGCTCAAGTGGTAGAGTGCCAGCCTTGAGTGAAAGTTAGTGTGAGTTCAAGCCCCAGTACTAGTAAAAAAGTAATAAATAAAACAAAATGATAGACTCTTCCTGGCCAAATCAGGTGAAGACCCTAGGCCTGGATTACATCATAGAGCTCAAACTCATATGAGTCAGATTGAGTATTCTAAACCCAATCACAGGATCCTCTGAAGGAAATCCATTAAACAAGACAATGTGGTAGTTTGGGCAACTTAAAAGTTACTCGAGCTTTGGAAACTGAACTGCCTGGAGTCAAAGCTATTAATATACTTTTTAGAAGTTTAGGTGTAGCATCAGTTTCCTTTCTCAAGCAGATTCACTGCTATTTCTCAGCAGAGTGATCTGTTAAGTGATCAGATTTAATGTACTGATCATTCTGTTTTAGAACTGAAAGAGGGGCTGGGAAGGTGGCTCAGTGGTAGAGCACTTGCCTTGCATGCCTGAGGCCCTGGGTTCGATTCTCAGCACCACATAAGCAAAAAGAAAAAAGCCGGAAGTGGCACTGTGGCTCAAGTGGAAGAGTGCTAGCCTTGAGCTGAAGAGCTGAGGGACAGCACCCAGGCCCAGAGTTCAGGCCCCACAACTGGACCTCCCCACCCAAAAAAAAAGAACTGAAAGAGGAAGAGAAGAGTTGAAGGAATTATACAATAGCCAGAATGGAAGAGGGAAAAAAACCTAAAGGGAAGTACATTAAACATTTAAATGTTTCATAAAAGTAAGATAAAAAAATGGCTAAGGAAAAAAATCTTGGTTATGAAACTATTCCTTATATTTAGCTTCTCAGTGATGGTCTACAAAGTATTACAGCTTTTTAAATGTTTATGTGTGTATGAAGGAAACTGCTAGGACTCTGTATCAACACATCCTTTGTTCTAGAGACAACAGAAAGCTAAACAATAGGCATTTTCAAACAATAAACTCAACAGAATTGTACCAGGCTCAGAAAGCAGAAGGCTGAAAATACTGCTATACCCAATAGACCTAGTAAGTAGCCATATTGCTCCTTTAAAAGGTCTAACTTGGGCTGGGTGGCTCAGTGGTAGAGCGCTTGCCTTGCATGCCTGAGGCCCTGCACCACATAAGCAAAAAAAGAAAAAAGCCGGAAGTGGCATTGTGGCTCAAGTGGTAGAGCACTAGCCTTGAGCTGAAGAGCTGAGGGACAGTGCCCAGGCCCAGAGTTCAGGCCCCACGATCGGACCCAAAAAAACAAACAAACAAAAAAGGTCTAACTCTTATCCATGTACATTTTCCTACTTTAATTCCAGAAAGGTTTTTGCAGTAGTACAAAAATAAATCCTGGAAGCCTGCGATCACTCCTTCCCGTACTGGGTATCCTGCTTTTTGATAAAAGCCATGCTTCCTTCCCTGACATGGGAGCTACTCCTTCTTTATATTTTCCTATATGGAGAGGTTATAACATAATGGAAGAAATGCCTGATAAGAATGTGACTTGAGTCTTTTCCTTTTTTGGACAGTACTGGGGTTTGAACTCAGGGTCCTGTGCTTGCTAGGCAGACATGCTACTACTTGAGCCTTAGTCTCAGTTCTAGACTTGAGTTTTAGGTAGGAAAACCAATATATGTTACTTCTCTAAGCCATAATTTGGACAACTATGCTGGGAAAATGATTTCTTCTCCATACATCTTGTAGTGCTGACATTTGGGTCTATCAGTATTTACATATCTTGCTTAGCTCTAAAGAATTCAATATGGCTTATAAAGTTAAGGAAGGAAAATGTAAGATAAAATAAATTAAAATGGTTAAAACAAGGAAAGAAAAGTACATTAAGGGAAGTGGGATGGAGCCAGCAGTAAGCCTACAACAATGCCTATGTGTGTTAGAGGTAGGCAGACCTTCAGCTCTAAGCTCTCAAAGGGAAACATGAGGAAGGAAAATGACCAATTACAACACCAGTAGCAATAACATAAAAACAAAGTAGCTGCTTAGGAAAAATACAATATTTCTTGGGTAGTTATTCTACAGAGTACATTAAGTCACATAACAAATTGTCTGTGAAGAAAACACCAACTTTGCTGGGCACTGGTGGCTAATGCCTATAATCCTAGCTACCCAGGAGGCTGGGATCTGAGGATCGTGGTTCAAAACCAGCCCAGGTAGGAAAGTCCATGAAACTCTTATCTGCAATTAACCACCAAAAAACTGGGAGTGGCACTATGGCTAAATGAAAGAGTGCTCACTTTGAGCTGAAGAGCTCAGAGACAGTGTCCAGGCCTAGAGTTCAAACCCCACAACCGACAAAAAAAAAAAAAGAAGGAAAAAGAAAACAACACCAACTTGGACTTCATGGGGTACCCTACTCAAAACATGAGTCAATACTGAACGGGAAGGCTTGTCATTTACCTGGCCAGTTTCTGTTTTCTCACTACACCACTTCCCCAGATCTATCAGGCACTTATCCTGGAGGGCAGGGTCCAGTTTAACATCCATGGCACGCTGGTGTAGGATCCTTTGCACTTCCGCTCGGCACTCCCGTGAGAGCTACATGAGAAAAGAATAAGAAGAAAAGGTAACAAAACAACTATAGGAAGAACCCAAACACAGCAAAGGTGCCAGGAAGCTAACAGATAATCCTGTGTCTATCTCCCCAATGTTAGACAGCTCACTCTCTAGAAGTCCTTTCTCTCCGGGAAGTGTAATTATACATTCAGGTTTTTTTTTTTGTTTTTTTGGTGCTGGTCCTGGAGTTTGAACTGGAGGCCTGGGTACTGTCCCTGAGCTTCTTTTACTCAAGGCTAGAGCTCTACCACTAGAGTCACAGTGTTACTTCCAGTTTTTTCTGAGTAGTTTATTAGAGACAAGAGTCCCATGGACTTTCCTGTCCAGGCTAGCTTTGAGCCATGATCCTCAGATCTCAGCCTCCTGAGTAGCCAGGGTTACAGGTATGAGCCACCAGCACCCAGCTACATTCAGTATTTTCTAATATAAAATGACATCCTTTTCTGAGTTAAACCTGAAGGAAGACATTCACTCAAATTAAGAGTTTCTACTTCACAAAATTACACTCTACATACACAAAAAGGTAGCCAGGCGCCAGTGGCTCATGCCTGTAATCCTAGCTACCTAGGAGGCTGAAATTTGAGGATTGTGGTTCAAAGCCAGCTCAGGCAGGAAAGTCTGTGAGACTCTTTATCTCCAATAAACCACCAGAAAACCGGAAATGGCAGTGTGGATCAAGTGGTAGAGTGCTACCCTTGAGCTGAAGAGCTCAGGGACAGTGTCTAGGCCCAGATTTCAAGCCCCATGACCAAACCAAAAAAAAAAAAAGAAGAAGAGGAGAAGAAAAAGAAGGAGGAGGAGGAGGAGGAGAAGAAGAAGAAGAAGAGGAAGAGAAAAAAAAAGTGATGTCCAATTGAGGAAAGAATATACCCTTGTTCCGGAGAACTGAGTTCAAGCTGACCTAACACAGAATGAGCAAGCAATTGCAGAAGCAATAGTTACACAGAGCGAGACGCTGGTGGCTCACGCCTGTTATCCTTGCTACTCAGGAGGCTGAGATCTGAGGATTGCAGTTCAAAGCCAGCCGGGGCAGAAAAGTTCCCATGAGACTGTTATCCCCAATTAACCACTCAAAAGCTGGAGGTAGTGGTGTGGCTCAAGTGGTAGAGTGCTAGCCTTATGCACAAAGAAGCTCAGAGACAGTGCCCAGGTCCTGAGTTCAAGCCTCAGAACAGACCAAAAAAAAAAAAAAAAGTTACACAGTTCAGGACTAGAGTTTTCTAGATAAATTATGTGCAATGAAGCAGGTAGAATGGATATTTTTGGAAGGCCCATGGGAAAGCAGTCATTAGCAGGTATTATCAGTTTCCCATCCTAAAAAAAGGTCAGCACACCTGGGATAGGGGATAGGCCCTTATGGAGTCATGTTCTGACACTAGAGGGGGGGGGGGTGGCTGTACCAAATACCACTATGTCTTCCTCTTTAAGATGGGTAATTTTTCAGGTTTTTTTTTTTTTTTAACTTGAGTTTCATGTTTGCAGCAGGTGTTGTACTGCTTCCAAGTCAAACCTTCCTGACTAGAAAGGATTACAGGTGTGAGCCACTGGGACCAGGCTTAATTTTTTTTTTTAAAGCCAGAACACTGGATTCTATTATGTCTTTACTTGTAAGAGAAGGAAATTCCTGCTACGGGGACTTGCCAGATGCCAGATTTCTAAAGTCCCTGTGGCTAACAAGGATCATGATATGGATCCATGTTCTCTTATTTATAACCCTATGAAAATTAAGTCAGCTTTCACAAGTGAAGGAGGATCTTTTATATTTAAGTCTCCTCATTCTGAATTCTTAACAAGTTCTTGCGCTGAGTTCAGTAAACATGCATGTGAAATAATAGCCTGACTTCTTTCTGTAACAAGGCAGAACAAACATCCAATATGGTTTCTCATAAGGTGTACAAATGCCATTCTAGAGATCAAGCAGTATCCCAGAGTGACACCAGGAAAACCAAGCTCACACAAACATCCCACTGATAGACAGCAATTGGGGCAGACAAATACCAAGAGACTGGGTATGGAAGCTTTTGCTCCAACTAGTGCATTGTCAGAGTGGCCTCATTAATACAGGGATTTGTGTTCAGCTGCCAAGGGCAGAGCTAAAGAACCATTTCTATGCTGACTAAAAGCTTCTAATGGATCTTTAAAGCTAAATAAAGTTAGGACAGCAGAATTTAATTGTCCATTTGTGATTCAGATTTCAATAATTAAAAAAAAAAAAAACCACCTGGAACTGTTCCTCCACTCGCTTGGTTAAAGAAACCATTCTGGGGTGGGAAGAAGGTGGTGGAACAAATAAATGTATCAGTAAGGGACACTCCCTGAGTAAGTTTCCAGCAGTACACAAACCCCTCCTCACCAAATACAGGAAAGTTTTCCTAGGGTGAGAGAAACCAGACAATATACATCAAGCTATTTAATAACAGTAAGAAGCAGCCAACATGGACTCCTACCCTCCTTCCTTGTTCCTCGGTGCGGTAGGCGTGTCTGTACAAACAAGAGAACACAGCTCCAGGAGGCATAAGTTCACTAGTCTCGTTCCAACCATGGGTGTGGCAAAGTCGAGAAGCATCTCCCTGGCACTTTCGGTATAAGACAGGGTCCAGCCTAAAACAGTAAAAGAACTGCTATTCACCCCACCTTTCCTTTCTACACACATTAAGAAAGGGTTTACCAGGTGCTTGTTTATACAGTCTTTGATAATCACCTAGGGTATTGGAGACAGCAGATATGCAGAAGTATACTCCTGAATATCACTTTTTTTTTTTTTAAGTAATACTGGAGTTTGAAACCAGGATCTGGTACTTACTAGAGAAGTGCTTTAGCATTTGAGTCACACTTCAGCCCCTTTTAATTTAGTTTAAAGGGCTCGCCTATTTTTTGCCCAGGCCTGCCTGTGATTGATACTTAAACAGATACCTCCCAAATAGCTTGGGTTACAGATGTGCACCATCATGCCCAGTTTGTTTGTTGAGATGAGGTCTCACTAATTTTTTGCCCAGGCTAGCCTTGAAATAGAATCCCCTTGATCTCCACCTCCTGAGTAGTTAGGATCACAGGAATGTGCTACCATGCCCAGCTTGGATATCATTGTTAATGGATACACATGGTCAATCTATAGAAGTCTGTTAATCTTTAGACAGTAGACTTTTACCTCTAAGATGTCATCTTGGACCAGGAACTTCTGTAACTCCAGTACTTAGGAGGCAGAGACAGGAGGACTGTGAGTTTGATGCTAGCCTACACTGCCAGGATTAGTGAATGAGCCCGCATCTGTTATCCAAACCACACCAAGGGCTACTTAATTTTGACCACAATATATTGACAACTTTAGGCAGGATTATTTAATGGGAAGAGAAAGGCCAATATTTAACGAATAACTTTTATGACTATGAAGCATTATTATTATTATTTTGGGTGCCAGTCCTGGGGCTTGAACTCAGGGCCTGGGCACTTTCCCTGAACTTTCATGCTCAAGGCTAATGCTATGCCACTTGAGTCACAGCTCCACTTCCAGCTTTTGGCTAGTTATTTGAAGTCTCATGGACTTTCTTGCCCAGGCTGGCTTTGAATTGTGATCCTCTGATCTCAGCCTCCAGAGTAAATAGGATTATAGATGTGAGCCACTGGTACTTGGCCCTCTGAAACACTTTTTTTTTTTTTGGGTCCGGTCGTGGCGCCTGAACTCTGGGCCTGGGCGCTGTCCCTCAGCTCTTCAGCTCAAGGCTAGCGCTCTACCACTTGAGCCACA